AGAGGAGGTGCCACGCCGCTTCCACGCGTCGCCTCGCGGGCTGCGGGGCGCGCAGAAGGGGGCGGACGGGCCGAAGACCCTCCCCAGCCCGCAGCAAGGCAGACGGCTCCTTCCGCCCCGTCGTGCGGACAATGCACGGAGCCCAGCCTGGCTTTTAGCGCCCGGGAGCCAGCCGTCCGCCGCCGCCGCAGCATGGTCCAGCAGAGGAGCATGAGGAGCCGCGCCGAGTCCAAGAGGGAGGTGTGTCCCCAGCTGGCCGCCAAAGACTCGCTGCTCCTGAAGGATGCCGGCGCCAAGGGCGAGCCTGCCTGGTGCAAGACGCCCAGCGGACACATCAAGCGGCCCATGAACGCCTTCATGGTGTGGTCGCAGCACGAGAGGCGGAAGATCATGGACCAGTGGCCGGACATGCACAATGCCGAGATCTCCAAGCGCCTGGGCAGGAGGTGGCAGCTGCTGCAGGACTCGGAGAAGATCCCCTTCGTCAAGGAGGCGGAGCGCCTGCGGCTCAAGCACATGGCCGACTACCCCGACTACAAGTACCGGCCCAGGAAAAAGGGCAAACTAGGGGCCAGCAAGGCCCGGCCGAGACTGCCCGTGAAGATAAAACCCTCCGTCCTCAGCCGGGTGCCCTCCAGCAGAAGGCAGTCTGCCAAGGCAGACTCCGGCTGCCCGGTGGGAGAGGCCACGCTCAAGATGGAAGAGGACCTCCTGGAGGGGCGGCTGTCGGACACGCCCTTCGAGGACCGCCCCAAGGCAGCCGGCAAGGAGTTCTGGCACCTGGTGCCCGCCGGGCGGGCGGCTGGGGAGAAAAGGAGCAAGAGGGGCGACTCCGCTGAGCCCCGCCAGGCGAAGGACCCCGAGACCCCTGCCGAGCCCTTCCCGGAGCAGGTGAGCTCCCCAGAGAGCGGGTCCCCCTCCCCGATGTCCACCGCCTCCCCTCCGCCCTCCTCTGACGAAGAGCTGGAGGAAGAGTTCTTGGGTGTCCTGCCGGGGAAAGGCCAGCCGAGCCCGGCCTGCGGAGCCCTGGACTGGTCCGTCTTCGACAAAGACCTTGACCTCTTCCCCCTGGGGGTGGCCTCTCACTTTGAGTTCCCGGACTACTGCACCCCCGAGGTGAGGGAGATGATTGCCGGGGACTGGCTGATGTCCAGCATCTCAGACTTGGTCTTTACGTACTGAGTCCCGCGCCCGGCAGGTGACTCTTTTCCACAATCAGGTCGTATCAAAACCACAGGAAGGAAAACACAAAACCAGCTGTTTACATGCAGGAATCAGGTATTTTGCCTTGAACGCATTCAAAGGCAGACGCTCCCCTGCCCACCCCTCCCCCGCTGCACACACCCACCTCTCCCGGCGCTCGCATGGGCGCCCCGGGACTGCAGCGCGGGGGCTGGGCTGGGTCCTCGCCTGGCGCTCCCCCAGCCTGGGGGGGATGGGGGGGCCTCTATCTTGCCATGAAATGTGACTGTCTAATCAGGTTTTCATTGTGAACCTCTTCTCCCGTCTCCCCTTCCCCCACCCCTGCTTCCAGCTGCTGCTCAGCTCTGCCGCCATCCCTTCCTCCACTGCCGAGAGACCCTCCCCCACTCCATCTCGCTTCTACCCCATATTTTTTCCTCCTGCCCTCTCTTGCTAGCAGAGGCCGCCTCCTCGCTCCTGGTGAATTTTCAGGCACGGTTCCCGCCTCCCTCCCGCTCCTTTGCCTGCCCGGGTAGCGCCACTTCCCTCTGCGTCGATTTCAGTGCATTTCCAAACCGGCCTTCGTTTTTCCTGCTCTTCCTTCCGACAGCCCTTGGGAAGAGAGCCCCACCGGGTCCGTCCGTCCCTGGGCGCGGAGGGATGTCAGGGAGCGTGCCCGACTCGTGCCGTCCCACCCTTCCGACACCCAGGGACTCAGGGGGGGGGGGGGGACAAGCCGCCGTCCCTGCCCGGTTGCAACAGCGCGCACGCGCTCCCCGCACCTCACTTTGGGAAAGAGCGAAGTTGCACGCACGTGATTTTCTCTCCAGACGCTGGTGCCGGCAACGGCACCGTCCGTGTGGGGAGCCCGTTCCTAGGGAAGGGAGCCCAAGGCAGAGGGGAAAGGGGAACATGTTGCTGCCTTCAGCGTGGCACCCTGGTTCTAGCCCGGAGCGGCCCAGCCTGGAGCTCTGGCGTGGCTGGCGATTTGCCCACGCCAGCCCTGCCTGGTCTTGGCCAGCCGTGCCGGTCTCGCCCGGGCCCCATTCCGAGGGCGTGACCGGGGGAGGCAGCTTTGCGGGCAGAGGGTGCAGATCCAGGGCTTGCTGGGGAAGGAAGCCACAGGGAAATCTGCCTTTAGCGACCACCCAAAAGGGAGCAGCCGCAACAAAGCCAGATGCCTGGTTGATCTGGGTCTGTCATGGAAGGAAGAATAAATTTGCCCTGCCCGCTGCATGGGGCTGTTCCCAGAGCCCACATCCCTGGGTGGAGCTGGGCCGTGGGGCAGGATTCCCTGCAGATGAATGCCCTGAAGCTTCCGGGCAGGGAGTGTCCTAGATGAAGGGCTCTGTGGCTGGGTGTTTCCTTGTCTTGCTCATGTCTCCTTCCTGCAGCAAAACCGCCTCCTCCCGCTGCTGCCTGGAAACATACGGCCGCCATGGCAACGGGGCCCTGAAGACGCCCCCCCAGCCTGGGAACTCTGGCGTGACGCCGCGTCTGCCGCCCCTTCTGCCCCCCGGGAGGCAGGCCCCTGCAGGAAAGGGAGCACCCTGAAAGCTGCTGCAGAAGTCAGGGCCGGATTTGCCCCCTCGTTTCTCAGTGGCGCTGCCTCCCCTGTTCCGGGCTCCAGGGTGGCCCCGTGACTCTAGGTGCTGAAGACGCCCCCCCAGCCTGGGAACTCTGGCGTGACGCCGCGTCTGCCGCCCCTTCTGCCCCCCGGGAGGCAGGCCCCTGCAGGAAAGGGAGCACCCTGAAAGCTGCTGCAGAAGTCAGGGCCGGATTTGCCCCCTCGTTTCTCAGTGGCGCTGCCTCCCCTGTTCCGGGCTCCAGGGTGGCCCCGTGACTCTAGGTGAGAATTCCCCCGTGCCCCCAGCCAGGAGGGGGGCGGGATCCACTCAGACTCTCACTAGGACCCGGTCAGGCCCCAGGAGCCAGCGGGCTCCGACCGTCCGGGGGCTTCACGCCGGCATGATCGTCAGAGACACCGAGCAGCTCGGACCTCCGCTGGGTGCCCCTGACCATCAGGCCAGTGCAGGGCCTCCCGGAGACGGCTCTGGGCGTCCGAGCCCGGCCGTGAGCTCCGCAGCTTTGGTTTTCAGTGGCCCAGGTGTTAGACTTTGAACGGGGACAAGTGGGCGTGTTCAGGAAGCCCTTTCCCAAGGACATTCCCACCCCCTTCTCCCCCAGCTGAGCTCCCGGGGTACGCTGGGGAAATAGGATAGATTTGTCTGTGTGTGTGTGTGTCTATGGATTCCAGTTTATAAATTAGGTTCAAAGAGCACTGAGACCATAATGCAAATGATGCACAAAGCAGGGGGTCCGGACCGAGCAGAAGGCATGTTCCCTTCCCCTCTCCTCCAGCCAGGCGGGCGAGCCGGGACAATGCAGAGCGGCTCGCCACAGGCCTCCCCAAACCGAGC